GGACGCTGCTGTCGGGTACTCTGTGGAAGACGTTGGATAAAATGATCCCTACGTGACTTTAAAACTGGCTTTTTATAAGGTTTTGTTCTTCAACGTGGTCTACTCTTTGTGTCACTGCCTAGGTTTAGTCTTAGGCTAAACCTAAGAGCTAGGCTATTCGCTCTTAATAAATCCAAATACCAGGGTTTTTCTTGGAGATACRTCTTTGCAGTAATGGTTCTCATTGTGCATGTGATGTGATATCCCATTAGCATGTGTGTGAGGAGATGTTTCCAATAACCTGTCTTCATCTGATGTCATTGGACTTTAAAGTGTGCCCTGCTCTTTGCGCATGGGCTAGAGTTTTTTTCTTCCTTTCTTTTTTTCCCCCTCATTTAAATCTCTCTCCTTCCCTCAGGCCCGCRGTGAAACACTCGTACTGACCATGTAAAGGAAAGGGTGAGAGTGACCAAGCACTGGATGCTGCCCAGTCCTCAAAGCAAAATGGAGAAACAAAGCTGTCCCACGATATTTCTCCTAAATTGCTGTAAAAATACTGGTCTCCTCTAACATGAGAAACAGTACTTGTCTTGGGAGGCAGAGAAATTGCATGTCACTTTCTGYCACTCAGCTGTGATATTTGGACTGTTTGTGTCCCTCTTATTAGAGGTTCAACATAGTGGTTGACAGTCTGTATGTTTAAAACAGCTTCTAAAGCAGGGGGAACCATGATTTATAAGAGGGTATATAATGAGGTATAAGTCTGGGAGTATTGGAGATCACATATGGCCTTTAAAAGTTAAGTAGTGACCCCATAGATAACTGAAAGCCGGATATATTGCAAATGGTTGGTTCTTCATGATCTGAAAAAGTGTTTAAATGCATGTAGGCATTTTCACTGACTTCTGAGCCCACCCACTGGCTTAGTGAAGAAAGCATTTGGGAAAAAAAAAGAGCTTTTGCAAATGCWGGTTTTGAATTATTAAAAAAAGAAAAGAAAAAGGCAAGTTGAATGCTTGAGGCAAGTCTTCCTATGTTGTTCTGATCAGATTCAGTGATTATTTTGCAAGCCATGGATTGAAGAGCAAGCTCTGAGCTGCTAGGTGTAGGCCAGGGCKTTAATCTAATTCACAGCTGGGGCAGACAGTAAAACTGCTCTGGTTTGCTCCGGTGTCTAGGTGGAGTGTTTTATATCTGAAGAAAAGTTTCCATGTAAAGAAGAAGCTTCAGGGTTCTTTTCCAAAAAAATGACTTTGCAGATTTGGTGGAACAGGTATTTTGGTGACCTCAAAGCAGTGTGCAAAACAGGGAAGAACTTTTCAGGTAGTTTCTTGTGAGTACATGAAAGGGAGGAATTTGCACACCCTGAGGCCTTCTGAAGCGTTTAACCTTCACATTTAGTAAATGAGAGAGCCTGGAGCTCCTGTAGATGCTGAGCGTGGAAACCTTGCTCTACCCMTGGGACCCGCAGGCTCCTTCTAAATTAGCAAGTACTTTAGTCAGTGGGGAAGGAGCAGCAGACTAGACGTGTTGGCACTGAAGCTTTTTGCAGCCCCATTAGTGGTTTGGTGGGCAGGGGTTGCTCTGGATTAGGTTTAGCTTGGAGCCTGGAGCTGGGGGTTCCTGCTGCCTGCGCAGTTTGAAGCTTCCTGAAGGAGGAAAAAAGTAATAAGCCGGAGAGCCTGGAGCTGCGTGGCCCACAGGGATATTGGAATTTCCTCTGCCTGTTGGGCAGCAGGTTACGTGGGAAGCACGTTTTAGGGGTAGGTTTTCAGGTTCCCTAACTCCAAAAGGAATCAAGTCTCAGATCTCTTTCCCTCGTTTAAACAAGTAGGGGGTTGGTTTGGTTTGGTTTGGTTTGGTTTGGTTGACAGTGGTCAAACTGGCACGTTAGGCTAGTGACCATTGCCGTTGCTCCTACAGAACTGCTCCAGCAGCGCTGGCTTGGCCTATTGCACAGTGCGAGTTTTAAGTGACAGTCCTTAATAAATAGCATGTAAAATAGTTTCTCTGTAGAGGAATGCAACCTAATTCAAAATATTTACATTATAAATTCATGAGAATTGTGATTTTTTTCTTYCTGTAGACAATTCTAAAGCTAAAAAATGACTTCAAACGTGCTAAATTAAATCTTTCTAAAGACCAAGCTCTGTTTGTTGACCCCAAACGGTCACTGGTTTTTGACTACTGGAAATGGTGCCAATCCAGCCACCAAAGCAAAAGTTGGATTATATTATGTTGGGTAGAAAAGTTATTTAAATTATGTGTGCAGGTTGCTGTTGGCATATAGAATAGAACGAATTAAATATGTGGTATTTTCATCGAAAAATRTGGTAATTTGACTTGTAAATTATGTGCTTATTTGGATGCAAGGAGTAGATGCGAAACACTGCTATAATGATTTCTGTTGCCTCCTACTTATATCTGTACATGCAGATGTGTGTCGGCCTAAGGGGAGTGCCAAATATTCCTGTTTTGTGGGCAGAGGCCCCTTCCTGTTAATGGCAGCTTTTGGCACATTGCCAAATACTCCTCAGCTGGAATTTGCTTTTCTGCAGTGGGAAGATTTACATGAGTAGAGGATTTCTTCCTTGCTTTGGGGTACGTGGTGAGTTGTTTTGTTGCCTTGCAAGAGAGGCCATGCACAAAGTGCTGCTATGGATCTGCTAGATATGGTCTAAACTCATTTTTACTGCATATAGGGGAATCAATGAGATGAAGGTGTATAAGGCAGCAAATATGTGCAGTTATGCTTRCTTTCCTTTAAGATGCAGTGCTTTAAAATTAAGGCAAAATCTCTTCCTTAGTCCAGAATTTCTCTCACACATAAATTTTGCATGGATTTCTGCAGCAGASCATGCAAGCTGGCTTGCTAGCAGTGTTTTGTGTGGAAAGGAGTTAAGCTGTGTTAGTTTCTCATTCTCATAGGTGCAGGTTTTTTTGGATTTTTCTCTGTTTTGCAGTGCATTTAAAGGCAGAAACTGTTGTAGTGCCAGATTCAGGAAAGGGAGGACTTGTGCAATGGGGCTTCCCTGGGGTGGATGTTGAGCTGGATGGAGTAGGAGAAGGTGAAGCTCAATGAACAGGGACACCTGAGCCTGGGGAAGCTGGWAGCCTTGTGCTCTGGCCAAGGGTGCTTTTGGTCAGGAATAGGTGGGAGATAACGTGGTGAGCGAGAAGGGATGATCTGGTGTGTCCAGTGCTGAATGTCAGTCAGTGTCCAGAAAACATAAAAATATAATAAATAATAAAAATATGCAAAATATAATAAATGTAAGGCGGGACATGAAGAGGAGYGGGGAGAGGAGGGCAAGCAGGGTGTGCAAGTCTGGTTAGAGGCACTTTGCGTTCAAATATGTCCCTGTGAGCAACAACAAACTTAGTCCTTTTGGGAAACTGTTGGATATGACTCACAGATGTGTGACAGGAACTATGACAAAATGAAGCCCCCCCCCCCCCCCCCCCCCCCCCCCCCGGCTTTTAATCATGTGGTCTGCACATTGCCAGGGTGTTTTCTTGCTCATATTTAGTGCTGTTCCTATCTTAAATTCAGGGGAAAGATGAAGCTTTGCATTAAAATTCTGGTTTCATTTAGACGATTAATTTTTAACCTCAATAGTCTCTCTCCTGTTGCTCCAAAGGAGCCATTAGAAAAGGGACCAGTTCATAAGCACTCAGTACGAGTGACCCCGTTGTCCTTTTCAGTGTGTGCTTCAGTTGAACACAACTAAGGGGTGCTCTGCAGGGGCATCATAAGGCTTCCTGCTAAAGCACTTAGGTGGGTCTCCCTTTTCCTGTGCTTGCTACAGAGCGCTGCTTGTTTGGGATCCTGCCGTCGTCACTGTGTCGCTAGATTACAGGGGAAGAACGTGATTCCTCTCATTGTTTTCCTGTAACAGGTAGATTTGTTGCCCCTTCACCTTGAGAGGGAGTGAATTTTGTTTTGTTGTTCTTACATCTGTGGTGAAAGGGAAAAACAGGTTGAGAAAAACTTTGGCAGTCGGTGCAGCCCAGTGACGTTGTTGCAAGATGTCCCTGCTGAAATGGAAGTAGCTTTTGTGTCCAGTTCCTAATCTGCTGCTTATGCTTTCCTATGACTGCATATACGGAGTCTTTCTTTCCTGCCTCACAGGTCCTTCCCGAGTCTAATTTTCCACAATACTGTGACAGTATCTTCTTTTCATGTCAGTAGTGACAGTCTGCATCTTTTCTTGCAGTGTTGCTAGTCAAAAGCAGGATCAGGTCACCAAGTATTGCAGTAATATCAGCCCCATATCCGAAAGGTTCAGTGAGGCTTTGGGATAGGAACTRCTTTTCTTCCTTTATTTTCTGGCCAGGTTAATCTTGCCAGATTCATCAGTACCTTGGAGGGAGTTTTCAGCCCTGTTTTGAGGCTGGAGCACTGAGAGCAGGGATGAGAGGATGCTTCCTCAACACCTTCACTTAGTTCCCTCATGTTTCCTGTGCGCTYGGGAAAGGGAGCAAAGAGGCTGCCAGCTGGAAAGGGAGCAACAATGCCGGCTGGCAGGGCAGGACCAGGCTGTGCAAGGTGCAGAGGACAAGCCCATGAGGGCTGTAGTATCAGCTCCTACTCTTTTGCGCTTGGTCTCAACCACTTCCAAGAGGTGATGTTGCTAAGGTGCCAGGAAACGGAGCCCTGGTGTGCAGCRCACGTCACAGCTCACCCTGCAGCCCAGCCTGGGCTGTGTGTAGCTCTCCTTTGGCTGAGGAGGGAGAAGGGCAGTGGGTCCCCAGGCTGATGGGCTTTGCTTGCTGCAAGGTGGCCAGGCAGAATGCTGGTGGATGCTGCACAAGGACCAGTGCTCTCCTACTGGGCATAGCTGTGCAAGGCACAAGGATTGGCTGCTGCTCTGTGCAGTGTGTTCATTTCCTCGTATTTGCTGAATTTGTCCTGATAAACTCATGTTCAAGGGAGGGGGGAAAAAAGTTAATTTCTTTTAATTTATGCCGTTTGAAGTGGCTTTAATTAAATGCTGCTGCCTTTGTGTTTTGCAGACTTCTCCAAGCCAACTCCAGCCAAGAGAGAGAAATCTGTTTCTGCCAGCCTGCCCCAGTCTCCAGTGCTGGTCCCCCTGATGGCAGTTTGTACAACCCTCTGAAACCTGCCAAGCTGGACGCCACAGCTTTGCACGACTGCACTTTGGCCACCACCGTGCCTCCCTCGGAGCTGTCCCACCATGCAGTCCTAGCCTGCGACCCAGGCGTTCATGAAGAGCACTATGTGAGTGAAGCGGTGGAAGAGGATGTGCGAGACTGCAGGGAGTACAGAGATGCCTGCACCATTACTGGTAAGCACAGGGGCCTTTTAGGTGCGGAGGGAAATGGAGCTGTGTACTTATAAGCCTTGGTTTCAGCTGGCTCACGGTGCTGCTGCTGTTCTGCATGCTCTGTCTTGTTAGACCAACGGAGAGTCAGCAACAAGGGCTGGAAAATGCTGCAGCTTAAAATGATGAAATGGTTGTTCTAGTGTTCACTCTAATTGGGATCTTTATCTTGATGACATGGATTGCTTTGCACAAGGAGGGGGTGGGAGGAACGGCAGGTAGCATCCAATGTTGTGACTAAAACACCTCTGCTTTACAAAACTGTTCTGATTTTGCTATGTTAATTCTGGAACTGTAATAGTTAATGCRTAAGAAGTGGCTCCTTCTGCATGCTTGTAAGAAAGGCTAAATGTCTTTATCACAGAGTTCATTCRAATAAATGGAATATGTGTTTAAATATGGTATTTAAATAGAATTCCATTCTTAATGATGTGGTCAGTTGACCCAATTTTCCTGAGTTTGAATAATCACTGTAACTGAATAATCACTGTAACTCAATTTAGCCACTGCTATGACCATCAAATGACAGGCAGTTTCCATTCCAAATGCGTGGCCTGGCTGAGCTCTGAGGCTTCTTCTAGCTTAGTGGTCACTTGGAACCACGACCTTGTCAGGCCCGAGGTCTTTGAGGAGCGTTCGGGGATTCGGCTGCATTTTCAGCAGGGCGAAACGAGAAGACTGAATAAAAACACATTGGGGCTCTTCTAACTGGTTGCCAGATGGCAGTTTTGGAATCCTCTGTGTGTCAGAGAAAGTTAATGTTCATGTATGACTATCAATAAGTACTTTTGTGGTATGTTTTACCCTAGCTCTGCCCAGCTGCTGTGTAGCTGTTAAAGGTTGAGACTCTGAAAAAGAAGAGAGGCTCTGCACACCCTTATTCCCTACATCCTGGTAATAGAAGAAATAAGAGCATATACATATATATATATGCACACACAAACATATATAKGCACACATATCTAGGCCCTAGTGAGGAACAGGGTGGGAACGTAACAATTACTGCTTGAAGGGATGGGTCTAAGGTTAAAAATGGATCAGTACAGGGAACACTGCTGTGAATACAGAAGGAGGTTCCCAGGGCCTACTTAGGTGTTGCAATGGAAACTAATGACAGAATTACCCAAAACTGCAGATGGCAAARTAAGATTTTGACTAGAACTTGGCTTTATTCCTTGTGAAGTTTGTTTTTTTGCCATTGATTCTCCTTCTGAAATGTTATACTCCTGCCATTATAACCTTCTCTATTTCCATTCTTTTTAAAACACAATTAAGTAATTATTGTTTTAAATACAAAAAAAAAAAAAAAAAAAAAGAAAAAAAAAAGAAAAAGAAAAAGGCAAGCCCATGCCTGAGGAGTCAGGAGCTGCTTGCCAAGCATGACTACTTCACAACTGCAGACCAGGTAGGGCATGGAGGGTGAGTCTTCAGCGATTGCGAAAGATCAGTGTTTTTTGCCTTGAAGCAAAGGGAATGAAGCTACTTGCAGTCAAGTACATTTCTACATCAAGTAAATGTCCTCTTAACAGAAACTAACTCCTCCCCTCTCCTCCCCTGAATAATGCTCACATCCCTTGAGTGGTCACTTTATAGTCTGGACACTCRCTGCTGACTGCCCTCAACTTGGGCGCTGCTTGGAAAGGAGCCTGGAACTCCAGRCATTGCGTAGTTGTATTCCTGGCAGCTTAGTTTGATTTTCCAAGTCCTTTGCAGAAGGGCCATTCCTGCTAGTTGTGCTGTTGGTAGTGTCCCATCTTCTCGCTTCCCCTCTGCAAGCAGAAAAAKGCAGTCAGAAACAGTAAAAAAATGCTAACATGTCTGAACAACCGGCTTCTTCCATGAATCCATACCTCCTTGACTGCCCTTCCATAAAAGGTGAGGTGAACTCTGTCTCCCTTTCTTCTTATTTTTCCAAGTATATTTTTATGTTAAGTCAATGCATATTTTCCAGCCTCACACTCTTTCAGGCAGGATGTGCTTTCTGAGTTTCTYTCCATGTTTGGTTATCAGCCCAGCGCGGTCTGATGCTGTAATATTGTTTTCAGTGGTCAGCYGTTGGGCAGCGACATGTTGATACTGCATGTGGCCTAGAGACAAGGGCTAAGGCTTGGAGCAGAAATAGCTTTCTGTTTTGAAAATGGATTATTCTGAGTTGCAACTCTCTGTTGTGCATTTTAGAGCTCAGAGAGCACAGACCGAGGGCTTGGGCTTGTGCTCCTGTTTGCACTGCAACATCTGTTATGTTGTCAGATGGAAAAATGGAGCGTATTTGATATACAAATGCTCACTCAAGCAAGCAGAAAGGGGGATACTTGCAGGGTAAAGGAAGATTGAGCACTTTGATGTGCCTGACTGAGAGGTCAGCAGCTCTTGCACTTTGAACTGTTCAAAGAGAGAGAAGTTGCTCGTATGCTGTAATTTTTCTTCGATGCCAAGACAGGGCTAATGCTAAAGCAAGGATATTTGCATGCAGCAATCAGGGTAATCTCTTTGCTTTTAGTTCAAGATGCAGATGTTACTCTAAAAATAGCCTTCAAACCTTGTTGTACCGAATGCTTGAGCCCTGCCAAACAACCGGAGCGGGGAGCAGAGTTGTGGAGCTGTCGGGCGACAGCCGCCCTTGTGCAGGAGGGGAGATGGGGTCTGGATCCCAGCTCGCTGCTTTGCTGCAGTGAGTACATAATCCGGCTTGGAGAGTGGGGCCAGAGGCGCTGGGTGAGGAAGAGTGAGGTGGAAGGAGAGGCTTCCTTGAGCCAMGGCAGCTGCTGAGGGGGAGGCAGCACCTGGAAGAGGCCGCCTTCCTTTCCCACCAGTTCTGATGGGAGCAGAGCAGCCCAGGCCGCGGCTGCCGGCACCGCCGCATCCCGGGCGCCCAGGGATGCAGCCCTTGGCTGCCGCTTGGGGAGCTCCGAGGCACACGGGTGGGCAGCTCCGAGGGCAGCAGGGCCAGCCCTGCGTGGCTGGACGTGGCGCTGCTGCCCTGCGGGCCCCGCGCCTGCCCCAGGCCGCTGATCTCTTCCTTCAGCCTTTTCCTTTTCCTGCCTCTTAGCCACCGATGGGACAACGTAAAGATACAAACACGAGTGCAGCACCATCTAGTGCAGCTTCCTTAGAATGGGAATGGGAGTCTGGAGATTTCTGTGCCTGCACTGGAATTTCAGTGAGTTCTGGGATACATATAATCAGGTGTTCATGGAGGAAACACCAGCTGGAGCGGAGAGCTTCTTCCTCTCTCTGACCTTTTTTGCTTGTTTTTTCTTTTTCCTTTATTTTTTCCTTCCTTTTTATTTTTGTAAAGGAAGATGAAGTGATAAAGTGGAGTGTTGTTGCTAGATGTTCCAGCAGTTCTGAGTTCCAAAATCCTCTTAGCCTGGTAGCCTTTTCCTTCTCCGTCAGCTGCTGTCAGACAGATGCTGTCCTGTTGAGGTGGACCATGTAGTAGAGTTAGCACCCAAAACCCTAGCACAATATATTTTGTTATTTTGTGCTTTTTTTTTTCTTCTCTCTCTCTTAAAACATTTCTAACACAGTAACATTACACGTCTTTGACCAGCCTTGAGGCTGCCTTTGCATGTCTGAAGACTTTTGCAATGGCTTTGGCAGGGCCTACTTGGTAGTTCAAGGGCTAGCTGTTTAATATGCCATGCAAGTTTCCTTCATCATCCTCCTCTGAAAAAGGAGAGAATGAATGGGCTGTGATTTAAGTTGTCTAGTTCCTTCATTAGCTTCCGTGATTTATTCATTCATTAGACTAATTACACTTTCTGAATTCATGTCAGGCATGTACTTCCTGGCTGTCACTTATTGTGGGCAAKTCCCTGAGGATTTTCGGAAGCTGTTTGTGGTGATAACCTGTTCTTTGGGATGGTCRTGGTGTATTCTTTTTGTTTTGTTTTGTTTTTAAATCTTACTATACTTAAGAGGCTGCACTGATCAATAACTATAGCATTTGTAGAGACCAGCTCTCTTGCTGTCAGGCAAAACAGTATCTCCTAGTAACAAAGATTTTGGGGAGAAGAAAGGTTTTTTTGTTTTGTTTTCTTTTTTTTTTTCTTTTTTTTCTTTTTTTCCCCTCTGGGTTTTCTCTGCATCCCCCTCATCCTGAACCCCATCATTCAGGCTTTTAATTCTCCTCTCCTATGAAGTGGCGCTTCTGTTCTCTTCCATCAAAGGTACTGTTCCTTATAGCCACATTAACTAGTTATGATCCCTGGTTCTAAAGGCAGCTGTCACAACCAACTCATTTTCTGCAGACACTTAATTTTGAAGGATATCCCCCAAACCTGCAGGATTTGTTTCTGTTCCTCCTTCGAACTCCCTTCCCCGCCAGTGCCACCCAAGGTATCTGCTTTTGCACAGTTGTCCCAGTTTCTCCTCAGATTTGTGGATTAGAGAGAAGAGTTGCAAGTTCATTGCTTGGTAGAGGTGTTCAGTTTCAACAGAGAATGTAAGAAATGCACTCCTGGCTCCTGATGCCTCTGGGACACTGGCAAGGCACTAGTACATGSAGGGTTAGGGGAGGGCATGAGTCCAGGCACTCATGGTAGTCTATTCCCACCATATGTATCTCCATCATCCAGAACTGTTGTACTGGGAATAYAGAAGGTACACCCCTACCTACTACTTTTAGTGTCCATTTGTTGGTGGACACTGTTGTCCATGACTTTGTCTAATCCCTTTTGAACCTGCTTGTTCTCTCTGTCTGCACAGAATGAGCAGAGACAAGTTCTAGGTTTTAAACTGCTGTTTACTGTGGTACTTGCATTGAGCGCTGGTTTCCTTACAGTTTGTGTAAATACATACAAATTTTAACTCTGCAGGATTTGATGAATGATCAGTTCTTCATTCACCTTATCTACCACCTTCTTGCTTTTGAGAAACCTCTCCTGTTTTCACAGCCCGGCTTTCTCTGCTCCCACATTATTCAGGCTTTCCTTGAGAAGAAATYGAAAAACTGAGTTTCT